TGGTGGGTTATTGTTTTTTTGTTGTTGTTGGTTTTTGTGTGTGTGTGTGTGTGTGTGTGGGTGGGTGGGGGGGGAGATTTGCTTGCAGTGTTAGCAAAATATTTTATAATCCGGTTGACAGATTTTAATGAAACTTGCATAAATAAATAATTGTGTGTAAATTTACAACAGAATGATGGCTGAGCTGACTTTTGGAGTAAACCCCATTCAAGATGGCTGCCACAGATAAGGCGCATTAGCAAATAGTAGAAACATGAACAGATATTTTACAGATACTGAGCTAAAATTTGGTGTGTTAACAGCTGAGAGTCATCCACAACACACACTCTGAACACCAACTGACTGCATGACATTTGTTTTTAAAACTTTGCCACTAACTTGTACAGCTGACTCTGACCGGTCTGTTAGCAAAATATTTCAGACACAACTAAATGGATTTAATGAAGGTTTCAGAAATTAATCATTGGGTACACATGTACAGCTCATTAACTTTTGGAGTCAGCTTGATTCAAGATGTCACAATGACAGTCTGTTGGAAAAATATCTCATGAACTAGAGGACAGATTTTAGTGAAACTGAAAAAGCAATAAATATATGTACATGTATAATTTATTCAAATTTAGAGAGTCGGAGTCAGAGAGTGCAGCACGGTGGCGCAACTGGTAGAGCTGCTGCCTCTCAGCGAGCAGGTCCTTGGTTCAAACCCCGGTCCAGGGGCCTTCTGGGTGGAGTTTGCATGTTCTCTCCGTGCATGCGTGGGTTTTCTCCGGGTACTCCGGTTTCCTCCCACAGACCAAAAACATGCATGTTAGGCTGATTGGTAACTCTAAATTGTCCCTAGGTGTGAGTGAGAGAGTGAATGGTTGTTTGTCTCGTTTGTCTCTATGTGGCCCTGTGATGGACTTGCGACCTGTCCAGGGTGTACCCCGCCCCTCGCACAGTGATTGCTGGACATGGGCACCAGCGACCCCCGTGACCCAAAATGGAACAAACGGGTAAAGAAAATGGATGGATGGATGGAGTCAGAGAGTCAGAGATTCTTTATTGTCATTCGCACCTCATGTGGTACATGAGGTGGAGCGAAATTATGTACATGGCCACTATTCACTAGTGTGAATAGTTTGTCCATCAGGGTTTGGGGGATCATGGTGTTGAAGGCAGATGTGAAGTCCACAAAGAGTCAACACAATTCAAGATGGTCCCCACTAGGGATGCACAATATTATCGTCATGGTGTCGGTATCGCCCGATATTAGCGTTATAGTTCAATATCAGATATCGGACATCAAAATACAATCCATCAAAATAATTCAGATATAAAAGACGCTGTTTTTGTGACAAGGATACCTGCAGCGCCAGCACAACGTGATGACGCCACGCACACCTACCTGATCTCACGGCGGAGAGGAAAAAGTCAAAATGTCTGCAGCGTGGAAGGTTTTTTTTCGTTGAGGATGTTGGATTCCAAATATTTTTGGACTACATTGAACCTCGCTTCATCGTCCCCAGTTGGAGATATTTTTCCGAGGTAGCCTTACCCGAGTTACATGCCGTCAGTTCTGATATCAGTGAGAGAGAAGCTAATAGCCGATAGCACGACTTGTTGGGTGAGTTTTGCCACAGACATTTGGACGTTGTGTTAGCCCCATTAGCATGATTAGTCTTACACAATGGATAGACAAAAACTGTGAACTTAAAAAGGCTGTCCTTCATGCACAGGAATGCAGAGGATCCCACACTGCAGCTAGGAACCTGGAGCAAGCCTCAAGTGAGACAGCATCGCAGGTGACTAATGCTAATAAATAATATTTAACACTTTTCATTTAATATAAGTTAAAGTGCAATGCATGTCATATGGCTGTTACTGAATATGTGTCACCAGCTCTTACAACTGTTGTACAATTTTTCTAGCAATAAGCCTAAATAAGAGGACTATGTTCTGACAAAGGAACGTATAGTTAAAATATCAGTATCGGTTATCGGCCAAATAAGTTTTAACATATCGGGATATCGGATATCAACCAAAAATCCAATATTGTGCATCCCTAGTCCCCAGAGCTCATCAGTATTAGCCAACACAAAAATGGCTACAAATCTGTCACTTTTACAGATAGTGAGCAACAATTTAATGTGGCAGTTGCTGAAAAACATCCTCACAAACTCTGCAACATAAAAATTGCATATGATTGTGTATATTTACCAGGTTTGACCTGTAACTCTGTCATTTCTACACATAAAGATGATTTTAGTCTAAAACAGCATGAATGGTGGAAGGGGATGTGCTTTCCTTCAAGCTTGACAGGTCTTTTGTTAGTCGAGGGTCTTGATCAGCCACATGATGCAGCTGATGTTGTCAGAGGCTGAAACAGTATTAATAATCCTCCAGCAGATGTCCTCATACACTCATGATCCAGAATTGTTTCTGACAGCTTTCCAAATCAGGATTTTGTGCTTAATGACCAGTGTTTCTGTGTGGAAAGCATGATCCACAGACAAATGTGATTCATAATATTGTAGACAAAAGGCAGATAAAACCCAAGCAAGATGTATTGAAACTGTCAGATCAGATACGAACGTCATGTTGAATTCCTGATGCTAAGATTAAAAGCTGTGGACTATTCAAAGAAAAGAAAATATAAGAGATATAGAGTTAACAACCCTCTATGGAACTGACCTGGTTTGTCTCTGTGCCCACTCACACAGCCAGAAAATGTGAATGGTTTATGAAAACCATAAAATACTCCTGCAGAGGAGAACATTTCCTCAAAATAAAGAAGACCAGTATATGACAAGGCTGAGATTAACATGTCTGCCTTTTCCTATTCTCTTTCTCCCTCTCTCTGTCCGCGCTGTAATGACATGTGGATGAAAGAGTAAGTGGACCGAAAACCAAGAACAAAATGAAAGCGCCTCTCTCTGCTTTTCTTTCTCTGTCTCCTTTCTCCCCAAGACACACAGAGACACTTTTAACTGCATTGTGAGAAAGAATAAACGTCCTGCTGACGTGAGATAAGGCGATCACAGGTGACAGCTCCTATATGAGCGAGTAATCATGACTCTGCATGTAAGTGTGTCTATACGGTGCATTAAAAACTGAAGGAGACGTTACAGAGCTCCTCTCTACATGACCATTATATTCTCCATCTGCATATATATGAGTGCATGTTTCTCATGTGATAAATCACACGTCAGAGGCAGTGAAGTCTCAGCCTGTGGGCCATTACCACTAACCCATCCTGTATAGTTTACCACTCACCGACTCTTTGACTGACTCAATTTTATTTAAATGAAAATTATCATTCATTTACATTTAAAGCACATTCACAACAATTAACTCAGAGCAGTTTCCTTTTTAAGTCTTGGGACACGCATTGGAATATGCATTAGTGAGTGCAGAAACTTAATGAAATCAACTTTGATGCTAATACAATTAATCCCAGTTGAACTGTAAAACACAACGTGAACCTAATGCTGACATAATTATACTGATACATCACATAATAACTCGTGATTAAATTACCACATTGACTAAAATTGATTAAACACAATGTACTGTGGTAATATACTAATAATATGCTACTATAAGTATACTTTAATTTCTAACTTTGCTCATTTAATCCAATAGTCATGTACATTATCTTGCAGTTATTGGAGCATCAGAGCCAGTACATTTAAATATGATTAAAATTATTTCTATTTTGAAATAATGTGAATACATATGTGTCGGTTTGATTAATTTCCTGGATCTCTACTCCAGTAAATCATCCTTCTTGTGCGAGTTGTGGGAATGAAAGTAGAGCTTTAAAGGAGGCTTTGTTTTGTCTAAGCTCTGGGTCACACACACGCGCCCACGCACGCATGCACACACACACACAGATAAATGTACATATGATGCATTCATTCCAGTTTCTCTAAACTTCATATTTATAAACTAATCTGTATTCCACACTGAACAATCAAATCTTTAGACATTTTTAGCCATGAAAGGGTTCAAAATTCCCTCACTTTCTGAAAAACATCCCACCCTGCAAGGTCTGAAACTGAAAAGGAGTCCTCACAAGAAGGCCATCCAATTACTCCCACACACAAACAAAGAAAAGGGACGGAGCAGAATTCCCTGGAGACACCCAGCTGCAGCGCTGAATATCAATGAGCAAAAAAAAAAGTGGGTTACAAACTAGTCAGCAGAAGAAGGAACCATTCATCTTTGTGCAACTTGTCCTGGGAGAAACTGAACAGAGACCAAAGCTTCTACAAGTCTGCCTGGATTACAACTTATACCGTTGTTTAGTTGTAAAAATAAATTATTTGACAGTAATCTTCGATGAAAATAGTTTAAAGTCAAAAGGGATAATTTTATGACACATTGTGAGAAGATCACAAAAAAATTTTTAGGTATTGCTCAACATTTTTTGACTAAAAATCTTAGACTCTTACGGTAACAAAAAAAACTCACACATTTTGTGAAAATATGCAGAATGAATGCTTAAAATTGCATTAAATTTGCTGAACAATTTACTGAACTGAATAGTTAAACAAGTAACAAAAGTGGAAATTAAAATAACAATGGCTGAAAGCTAAAATTAACTAATCAAAAATTTTAAACCAGCATAACATCCACCCATCCATCCATTTTCTTTACCCGCTTGTTCCATTTTTGGGTCACGGGGGTCGCCGGTGCCCATGTCCAGCAATCACTGTGCGAGTGGTGGGGTACACCCTGGACGGGTCACAAGTCCATCACAG